GGGGGGGGAAGAAAAATGGTGGACTGCCTGGGAGGGAGCAAAAATGTGGACTGCCTGGGAGGGAGCAAAAATGTGGACTGCCTGGGAGGGAGCAAAAATGTGGACTGTTCCCAAAGACCTGAGTTTAGAAACACTGCTTCAGAATAACAAAAGAATAATTCCCATCTGTATTTATGTGACAGTAAGCTACCAATCCCCGCTAATTCCAGGGAATGCATAAGTGCGGTAAGTAGGGCGGATTTACAGGCAGGGAGTCTCACCTGCTGTGGATGGGGGCAGCGACCCGATCCCTGGTAACGAAGCGGCAGTCGGGTCCGGTAGCGTCAGGTTCACGTTGGGTAGGGTGGGAAGCGGGGGGAGGCCGCCTGGAAGGGTCATCAAGCCTGCATGGGCACAGCGTTTTAGCAGAAAACAAAAATTAGATTAAACCCTAAACCAGAGTCCAGGTGCTGTAAAATGGCATAGAGTAAAGAGGTGAAGCTGACCCTGTAATGTGCTGGCTGGGCTGAGGGGCGAGATGCCCGCCATCGAAGGGCTGACTTGCGTGGGCAAGAGAGGCACAGTTGGGACACCTTGAAACAAGACGCAAAGCATTGAAGATATAATAATTAAAATCATAAATTACAGCTGACAGGCAATGGTTTGGGGGCTGACAGGCAGCATGAAGGACGAATGCCATGCATCGGGAGTGAAAAGGTCAGGAGGTACCTGTGTGTAGAACGCTGGGTATTGTGGGCGTGGCTGAGCTGATTGACAGGCCAGACAGCCCCTCTTCAAGCCCCGAGGCAGCTGGCGGGACAGCCGCAGGTGGGCTGACAGCGGAGAGCTGCACCTGGGCATGAAAATGATTGATTAGTATTTGGGAGTATGGTAAGGTCGCCACCTGCTGGAATACAGACGCACCTACACGTCTGGGACGGAGGCGTCAGCGATGGCCGACAGTGAGAAAACATCAGTTCGGTGACTTTGGATGTCAGCATGAGGGCACCACGGAAAATGGGATCTGGCCGCACAAATGCAGCAGATGGCGTGTGACTGTGCCAGGAGCCACGGCGCCAGTGAATATAAATTGTGGGAGAACGTCGGTTAAATCGCTCGGGGAGTGACTCTGGGCCTCTCAGATATTTTTTATCCAGGGTTACCGTATCTCGCTTTGTTGACCGCGACCCAATCATTCGCCAGCAAATTTCACGAAGACAGCTTTGCCTTAAAATCCACAGATTGGAAGCCGAAACCCCCCGTGTTCATCATTCATCAGGGATACCCAGTGGAGACACTGACTTTCTGCCGGAAATTCCAAGCAGCTGGGATGCCTGTCCCACGCTCGTCTGCAGTGGCCTCACCTCAGTGAAGCCGTCCTTCACTGGGCTGACCGGCTGGCCGGGAATCTGCTCAGGAAAACTGATCTTCTTGCCCTCTTCAAACGGCCGGGTCGGTATCCGGTGGAGATATCCGTAGCCGATGCCGCAGCCCAGACTGGAGAGAAACAGGAAATGAGATGGATTCCATCATACGTCGGGCTTCCCTGGATGCTAGCCCCTGCCCCCGGATGGGATCCACACCTGCCCTCTCCGCCCCACGCGCTGTTGGGCGTGATGACCACCTCTCGGCAGTTATCCGTGTCCGTGTTGTACACGTACAGCTTCAGACCTTTTCCTTCGTGCGTTTCGATTAGCGAGAAAAGGTCCTCCGACTACAGAAGAGCAGCAGCAGTTAGGGAGATTGAAAGTGCTCAGTGCACAAACATAGGAGGAAACATTAATGCAGTGTTTCTCAAACCAGTCCTGAGACCCCCCCCCCCCCCCCCCCCCCACCCCC